TACAAGAGGCATTCTTCACTTTAGATAATGCTAAATACTGGTATTTGGTTTTCATTTATGATTTTATGTATAAATGCTGGATGTTAATCGTTTTCATTTCATTGAAGGTGATACTGATTCATCTTATTGGGCAATCGCTGGCGATCCAAATCTTCCTAACACTCAAGCATTTCAAGCGATTGTAACCGATAAAAAATTTTATGATAAAAACATTTTCAAATTCGCACCTTTTGATTTCTTCTGTTTTGATGAGAAATTTAAACCTAAATTAAAGAATAAAGCTGAAGAAAAAGCACATGAGAAGAAGTTATTGGGTTTAGCAATTGAGAAACAAGGTGATAACATGGTTGCTTTATGCCTAAGTGTTATACATCATTCAACGGAATGATTGGTGAAGACTCCTTCAAAACGATAGCACAAAAAATGAAAGGTGTTAGTTTACGACAAAATAAGCAATTAACACCTAAAAATTATTTGGATATAATAAATGATAAAGTCATTTTCGATGGTCAAATATTAATTTACAACTTAAAAATGGGTCAATGACTCGCTTAACAATTGGTAAGACTGCATTAACAGGAGCACACACTAAAGCTGTATGTTGTGAAAATGGATGTTGTATGCCATTTATTTAATGAAATGCCAGAAGAGACAAAGAGGCGGGCACCCTTAAACATTTTTTTTTTTTATATAAATGAATAGCGTAGATTTAAAAATTTAATTGATGATTTAGTATTTAATCAAAATTTTCTTAGTTATTATGAATTAAAATCATATCTCCAAAAATGATGAAAAATTACGGTGATGATATGGTGAATACTATCGGTATTATAAAAACGAAATTTTGAAATATCATGATAAAATAATTAAACGTTTAAGAGAGAACATTAAAGAAGGAAAATATTCAAAGGGAAAAAGTAAATCACAACTTAAACAGTTGAAAGATTTCAAAAATAAAGTATTAACAGAAGAAGATATTGATGAATTATATAAATTATATAATCCTGAGCCGCAAAAGCCAAAAGAGAAAAGTTTGGACGTTCAGCAGCTCATAAATGAAGCACAAGCTTTAATTTATGATTCATTAGTTAAAACATATTCAGCCCGACTTTTAAATGAAGATCAACTTTTGGAATTCATCCTTCAACATAAACTCGAAGCGGGAAAGTATATCAAACCTTTATATACAGCATATTTAAAACAAATGAATAGAATACATCCGGAATTAATGAAGGGGGGAATGAAATCCAAAATCAAAGCAGATAAAATTAAACCACTTGCAACACCAAAACCCCCAACGACAGTACCTCCCCCTCCAGTTAATCCTTCATCATTCACTTTATTATATCCATTTCAAACATTAAAGAAACAAAAAGATTTTAAAAAGGGTTTCAAGATATTAAATAAACCAATTGACCCGAAAATTCAACCATTAAAAGAAAAATTTAGTCGTCCATCATTTGCACCTTCACCTTATTCATACGAAATCGATCATCTGGAATATTCAAAAGGAAATATTACTTATTTATTTGCCATTAACATTAACACTAGATATTTATATTGCATTCCGGTGAAAGGGAAAACAGAACAGGAAACAAGAAGAGCTATACAATACTTACTAGATCATGAAAAGTAGATAATATCAGGGGTGATGGTGATAAAGGATTTCAGGCAGTATGACTCATTATTTCCCACAAATTAATTTTTACTTTCATCCTCTCCATATACGTTTCATAATAAAATAGTTGATGCGTAATGAGAACTCTTAGAGATGCGTTAGGGGTTAACGGTCAGATATACTGGGATGGAAATCATGACTCCATCATACAGCAGTTAGTATATTATTACAATAATACATGGCATAGAACTATTAACATGAAACCAGTGGAAATGAAAAATGATATTTCAAAAGAATGGGAATATATTAGAAAGCAAATGGAAAGGTTGAATGATGTTAAACGTGAACAAATTAATTCGGGGCTCATGAATTTTAAACAAGGGGATAAAGTTTTGATTCATCTCGATTATGGAAAAACTGATAAATCAATGACAAAAAGAAGACGAAGATTTGACACAATAGCTGAATTTGTTAGATATATTAACGGCAATGCATTAGTTGAAGTTGACAATAAATTAATAGAAATTCCGATTTATTTTATTACTCCATTATATTTAAATAATATTTAATTTTTTTATTTCGTAAGAAATGAGTAACAACAAAGCAGTCAAGAGTCCAGACGATGAATATAAAAAGAAACTAAACAGAATTAAATCAAAAATATGCTATTACAAAAAGAAGCCGCAATGTGGTGGGGTTGAAAACGATAAAGAGAGGAAAGAAATAATCGAAAAATTAGAAACTTGCCGTTCAATCCTTAAACTGAGTGAAGCAAAAATAAAAGAATTTAATAGAATAAATAAATTGATTGGAAGAGATGAATTTAATAAAGATGAATTTTTAAACTCAATCCAAATTTAATTTTTATTCCTCTTCGACAACATCTCTCTTTCCATCATTACTGCATAACCACATTTTCTCAGTTTTAGTGGTTTGTTATTTTTAACATGTTCTCGCATCATTTTTATCATTTCCTCCCTTGTTATGATTCGTGGTAAATTTTGAGCTTGTGGGGTATCCATTTATGATAAAAATAAAAATTTAAATTATGCTGTTCTAAAGTTTGTGAAAGAATTTGCGGAAATTCATGTCTTACATTTTTTGAATAAATGAGGGGTCCCTCGGTCCCTCGGTCCCTCGGTTAATTAACATCTTTTTGAAAATGATGACAACATGACATTTTGACAACAGGGGAAAAAAAGGAGGAAATTCATGTCTTACATTTTTTGAATAAATGAGGGGTCCCTCGGTCCCTCGGTCCCTCGGTTAATTAACATCTTTTTGAAAATGATGACAACATGACATTTTGACAACAGGGAAAAAAAGGAGGAAATTCATGTCTTACAAAAATAAAGTTAGTTTTAAAGTTATTTTTATTTTTTTATTCCTATATAAATGACAGCAACAAACAACAACATCGACTTTATCGTTTCTGATGAAAAAGTTATTGATTCATTAGTTGGAGAATTAGTTGTGGCAGAAACTAAAACCCTCAACGAAAGAATTGGTGAAAACAAGATTGATTTACATAACTACCTCAAACATGATGGAGGAAGAGGAAGGAAAACTGGTATGCTTTATTAGTAAATAAAATTCAAATTTAACGATTATAGATGTTGATATCAATAAATCTACAATGATGAACTTAAAGAAACAGTTAGAAAAGATATTTTATCAAAACTTTCGGATAAAGATGTTATCGTTAAAACCGCTTCAGGAGGTCTTCACATTTATTGCAACACTAATTTCTTCTATTCAACCTCGAACAGAATGATTAAATGTTATTCCTGCAATGATTATGATATCGATATCATGACTTCAATGGATGATTCAAAGCGTTCATTAGTGGTTATGGTTGATTCAAGAGTTCGCAAGAATGCAAGAACCAATCAATACATACTCATTCATTCGTGGAAGTTATGATTCAACATTAACTAGAACAGTAAACGATATATTAAATGATTTGAATATTAAGGTAAGAGTTGAACAAAAGAACGAAGAAATAAAGAATATAATGAATGAAGACAAAGATGTAAACATTGACGATAAACTTGCCCAGAGCATAGTTGATGGCATCTGTGATTTTGAAGTACATAATGATGGTGGAAACATGAATTTAGAAAAAGAAGTTACATTATTCACACTGTTTCAAGCTATTAATTCGTTACCTAATCATTTAATTAATGAAGCATACGACAACGTTTATAACTTCTGCAGTTTAACAGAAAATGCAAAAAGTAATTTTGAAAAAGCACGTGATAGATATGCACATTTAATGACTTCTCCATTTGTTTTGGTAAGATTCTAAAACTTTATCAAAAGGAATATTATGATGAATATGTTTTACCTTTATTACGTAAGCCAAAAATAACATTTGATATAAAACTTGATGACTCGTTTTTGATAACAGATATTAGACGTAAAGCTGAAAATCATCAGTATAAAAACAGTTCTGAAGTAATTGAGGATTTATCACGTGTCATTCGTTTTGTAGATTGTGGAAACAAATACTTCATTCAAAAAGACTATATATTCATGATAAAATGAATCAAATATCATTCGTTCTTCAATCAAACATGAAAGAGTCACTCAAAATGATTAAATTATTTAAAGAAGAAGGTAAAACCATAACAGCATGGGACGTACTACTAAATCAATTATCCTCATTAACCGTTATGGGTGTTTGCTTTAAATCTGATTCCCCAGATGTTTTCTCAACGTTTCAAGGTTATAAATACAACGTTCTCGAAAAGCCTGATTACTCAAAAATTGAGATGTTTATGATTTCATTAAAGAAGCCATTTGTGATAATAACGATGAAGTGTATAAATACCTACTCGGCTGGATTGCATCAATGATTCAACATCCCGGAATCAAGAATGAAACAGCAATTATTTTGAAAGGACTTCAGGGAATAGGTAAAAACAGATTTACAGACATTATTTCTGAACTTCTCGCCGGTTATTCATGTAAAAACATTACTGAAATAAGTGAGCTAACGGGTAATTTCAATTCAGTTGTTGAAAATAAAATGTTTCTTGTACTTAATGAACTCAAGAATGTAGGTGAAGATAGACTCGCAAACTTCAACGCTTTGAAATCAATTATAACGGATAATGAGATAAGAATTAATGAAAAGAATCAACCCAGAAGAACTGCTCAGAATGTTGCCAATTTTATTTTCGTAACTAATAACGTTTACCCTGTCAAAATTGAAGTTGGAGACAGAAGATATACAGTTTTAAGGGTTAATGGTAAATTTAAGGGTCAATTTGATTACTTCAAGAATTTAATGGATTCATGCACAAAGGAATTTTATGATAATTTACTAACATATTTTATCAATTACGACCTTTCATCATTTAATGTACGAATCATACCGATGACTGAAGCCAAACAAGATTTAATGGAATTATCAACAAATCCTTTAGATGAATGGATAAATACACATTATGATGAATTGTGTGCAGGTATGATGTGTAAAAATGCTCTATTCTGCAAACCATCAGACATGAAAGACAAGAATTTTCAAATGAGCATTAAGGATAAATGTGAAAAGAAACAAAGAAAAACAGACGGTAAACATACGTGGTATTATGTTTTGAAAGAAGAAATGAAAGGATTATATAAACAGGTTGAACCAAATGATAATGAGGATTCATTTACTGACGATGAAATACCTGTAAATGAAGCTTTATAAAGTATGATTGGAATTTATTTTTGCATTAATCCCACTATGTTGTCAAAATGTCATGTTGTCATCATTTTCAAAAAGATGTTAATTAACCGAGGGACCGAGGGACCGAGGGACCCCTCATTTATTCAAAAAATGTAAGACATGAATTTCCTCCTTTTTTTCCCCTGTTGTCAAAATGTCATGTTGTCATCATTTTCAAAAAGATGTTAATTAACCGAGGGACCCCTCATTTATTCAAAAAATGTAAGACATGAATTTCCTCCTTTTTTTCCCTGTTGTCAAAATGTCATGTTGTCATCATTTTCAAAAAGATGTTAATTAACCGAGGGACCGAGGGACCGAGGGACCCCTCATTTATTCAAAAAATGTAAGACATGAATTTCCTCCTTTTTTTTCCCCTGTTGTCAAAATGTCATGTTGTCATCATTTTCAAAAAGATGTTAATTAACCGAGGGACCGAGGGACCGAGGGACCCCTCATTAGTTATTTTATCATCATTTAATTAACTTCATCTTTAGTTAATAATTTGAATGGATTCACTAATGTTCCACCTTGAGTCCCAACACTTACCCTGGCTAATTGTGAAGAACCTGGGATAATTACTCCACGAAATGATTTCATTGGTAACATTAATTTAGAAATAGTTGGCTTAATTAATTTTGTCATTTATGATAAAAATAAAATTACATAATTTAAATTTTTTTCTTTCTCATTTTTTCATCCTGTTTTGGTTTCAATAACTTTTCAAGTTGTTGTCTTGTCAGTAACTTTAATTTTAACTTTGGATCAAATATTGGGTTTCCATCTTTATCTCTTCCAATAACACCATATGGTAGAATCTTCATTTATACTAAAATAAAAATTTAAATTATGCCGTTCACTCTTTTGGAGCTCCTAAAGTTTGTTTCACAAACATTGAGCATTCATTGAACTCTATACCATGCATAAACTGTCATATAGGGCGGCATGTAATCTTTACTCTGTCCCGTCGTTTGTGTATATCCTGAAACATTATGTGTATGATTACCTGAACCCTGTGTATCGTTCCAGTAACAATTAATAGCAAATTTAACGTCATCTTTAACATCATATCCTTTACCTTTTGTCATTCCTGACCAATCCCAATATCTATGCTTATGCCATCCTGCTTCGGTTGTGTTTAAATTAACGTAATGACTGTGAGCAGGTAAATTTTCACCCGTAATTGTTTTACTTCCACCGGTTTGTTTTGATGAGTTTGTACAATATAAAAAACGATCGGTTATCTGCTGCCATGTACCAAATCCAAATAATGTTGATGGATTTGTTGAATTCATTGATGTATATATTGAACCAATGGGGTAAATCATCTCAAACATTGTATTTAATTTAGTATTAACCCATTCCTTATCTGCTTTCTTCTTTAACTCAGTATTAACCCATTCCTTATCTGCTTTCTTCTTTAATCCATTATGAATATTGAATTTATTATATAATATTGAAATCGTGTAAGAAGTTAAAATTGGTCTTGTCATCAATATTAACATATTATTTTTGAAAATTGCTTTTTTAACATCTTGAAATTTTGTGATTTCAGACCAATTTTTTCCATCACTACTGATATTTACTAAATCACCACATCCAAAAGCAATGAAATACCCATCAATATAAAACAAATTTGTAAATCTATAATTTCGAGTAAATTTTGGAGTGAATGAATAAACCAATTCCCAATTTGGTGTTTTCTCTGGATCCTGTGAAAAATCTTGTGATAAATAAATATGTCTGTTATAACTTACAGGATATGAATACAACATACTACCTGAAACAAGAACACAAACATTTGAAGCATAACATAAAGCTTCAATGTCTCCATCAGCTTGAAAAATTTGTTCAAAACGACCAAATGGTATTGAATATGATCTATAAATTTTATCATTTTGTAGGATAAAACACATGTTGTTAATGTAATACCATTTACTTGTATAATCAATTTTCAAATCTGATGACATCATACTAAACATATAATAATTTATCCCATCCTCACTAATGAAAATTTGATTGACTTCATAAATTAGTACCCATTTATTATTAACACATCTAATAGGATTATTTGGATATTTAAATTTAACATCTTGATTTAAATTACATTTGAACCATTGGATACAATCGAATGAATAACAAGGGCAAAAATCATCTCCAACTATTATCATTCCCATAAATTTGCCGTTATTATATTCAACATAAAAAATTCTTGGATTAATGATTGGCTCTCGTGTATCAGGATTCAAAACGGATGGAGTAAATGATTCATAGTTTTTAAAATCATTTGTTTTAAAATAATAAAGCACTCCAGCTATATAAAATAAATACATGGTCACTCCATCGAAACATAACCATTCAATATCTTCAAATGTTTTATCTGATGATTTCATAAAATTTAAAAATGGTGGGGTAAAATAAACCTCTGATTGTTTTATTTCTTCATTAACAAATGATATATCAGCTTTCTTCATTAATTCACTATCAACGTATTCCTTATCTGCCTTCTTATTTAACTCATCGTTAACATATGTTTTATCCGCTTTAAGGTCTAAACATCCTGAAACCCACCCTGTATCGGCTTTAGTTTTTAAAATCTTTGATGTCCATTCATGATACCATTCAACCCTTTCTTTAATTTCATTATCTTTTTCATCAACATAAACCAAATTTGCTTTCTTCATTAATTCACTATCAACCTTTTCTTTAATTTCATTATCTTTTTCATCAACATAAACCAAATTTGCTTTCTTCATTATGTCATTTAGGAAACCTTTTATGAATTCCTCATTTAAATTAAATCTTCCAATCTTCAAAACTTTAGGAAATGCATTTAATGCATAATATCTTTGTTCTTCTGGTGGAATTGATGTTATATCATCCGTTATTCCTTTAATTTTTGAATTCATAAATAAAATTTCTTTTATATTTGATATCACCGCACCACCTTTGCAAACGAATTCAAAATGGTCATTTTTCAATACTATCTCCAAATCTCCATATTTCAACCTTTGCGTTTGTTCTGCCGTCTTTGAATTATATGCATATGTGGCGTATGTAATGGTCTGAAGGACCTGGGTGTTTTGTGCCTTAAGTTGCTGTTGTTTAATCATTTTATTACGATTTAAAAATAAATATTTAATCCGTTATCTCATCAGCTATTTTTTCTATTTGAAATTGCCATAATATTTCATTCATAAATTCTAAATCACAATCAAATAGGTCAGTTATTCTAAATTTAATATTTGATAAATCTTTTGAATGAAGAATAAATGAATTCCCGGATAATTGAAATGGATATGATAAAGAAAATGTGTTTAAGTTGATGGATAAAATGTTTTGTATTGATGGGTAAGAGTTAGGGTCAAATGTTTGGTGTGAAAATCTCATTGGGGTATTAACTTTATCACATTTGATTAAAATGAAATTAGAACCAGTGTCAGAATACAAAACATCCCCAACATCTTTTTCAAAATTTAATATCCCCAACAATGAACGAAGACGAGGAGTACAAAATTTAATTTTCAGCGGAAATTTAATAAGGTTATTTATTTCATCAAGTTCAAAAAGTTTATCAGGTTTTGATTTAAAATTTTCTTCATACCATACGATAAATGATTCATTTAAATAACTTAAAATCATGTTAATATCCCATTTCACTATCACATTATTTATATACATATCATACGTTTTTTCATGGTCATCTTTAATAAATGATATATAATCTGAAGGGTCTAAAAGAATGGGATTAAATTTACCACTCACAGAAACGAGAGTAACATTATAAATTCCACTAACTGTTAAATTTAATTCACAGTTATTATTCGAAATAATATTGATAATTGACATTTTTTATTACGATTAAAAATATGGTAAAGCGTTATTTTCCAGTGATAAATAAAACTAGAATAAGATTACCTCAAGAATTCATAAATTCAACGAATAAGAAATTCATTCATGTTATAAATTTTAGTGTTTTCAGAAAATATGAGTCGATGTCATATTCATCAACAGGTTATATTTCACTTCATTCAAATTTAGTTCAATCAAACCCATATAATGACCATTTCATAAGATTTTCAGATGGTATTAAAAATGTAATTGATAGATTAAAATATGAACAGATTGACAATATCGAATTTTTGGAATTTTGGTTTAAATATCCCGATGGAAAAAAGATTGAAGTTAAAGATAAAGCAGATACTATAACAAAAACAATTACAATGACTGATCCGGATAGTGGGGAACAAAAAGAAATAAAACAAACGATAGAAACTGGTGAAAGGTCAATTATTATCGATTATGATTCAAAGGATTATTATTCGATAATGTTAATGCTTGAATATTAAATAGCCTTAACAAAGAATTTTTCAAGTGATATTTTATATTCATCAACTATTTTATTATAAATATCATTATATGTTAAATGAAGTTCAGTTGTTGTTCCGTTCTTTGATATCTTAATTGTGCTAATATCCTTTATAGGATTTATTTTTGCAACTGTTCCGCAGCATGAAACCTCATCATCTATGAAAAATTGAATCTTAACGTCTGAATCTTGAACATCACAAAGAATGGCGATAATGTGAATTAATGATTCATAAGGTAAAATAATTAAACCGGATTGGTCAATTAAATTTATTATTGAATCATAATTATCAGTTATGATATCGCGATATATTTTCATTAATTCAGAATTAATGTCTATTTTATATGGGTTATCAAGTGGTGCTGGGTATGTTGGATAAGTGGGAATTTCAACAGGTTCTTTACGGGTTCAGATAAAATGATTGGGTCTCCATCTTCTTTATTTTGCTCCTCCTCTTTCTTTGGTAAGTCACGAGTTAATAAATTTGGTTGAGTTGCTGACCTTGTTAATTCAGGACTAACATTAACTTTAACATTTTGAATAATTCGTGATTTATCATCATTTACATTATAACCAACCGTAATCTCTGCTTTTGCGTTTGTGTTCTTTTGACTTGTGAAACGTCTTCTCATTTATAATTGAATAAAAAAAAGAAAAATATATTTAAAGTTTTATTTAGTTGTTACGGTAATATCCCAAGGTTCATCCTTGTTTGCTTATACTTTCTTTGTAACTGCACCAATTATGTTATTGATAATGGTTTGAGTTTCTTCCAGTCTTATTTTATCATTTACAATATCTTTAATCATTTCATTACATGCATTCTTAAAACCATCTGATTTTTCTAATTTACGTCTATCACTTTCTTTAATTAAATCAAAGTTATAACCTTGTTGAGAATAAAGTGGTTTCTTTATCAATTCCTTGAACGCTTCTGAAAGTGAAGATGAAGAAATTCTTGCCACTTGAATTGGTTTAAATTCTGCTTTCATTGCTTCTTTCTGTTCATTGAACACTGGATCGAATAAAGCAACTTTAAAGAATTTCTTAGCTGGAATTTCAGGTCTCAAATTTGCATATTGACCATCAAACTGTTAACATATCGTGGTAATTCCGGTCCCTCTTCAATAGCGTTTAATTCTTCATTGAAATAAGAATATGGATTATGACGGTATGAAAGAATTGGTCCATCTTTACTGTCTCCGATATGTTGTTTAACAGCTTTTCCATTTTCATCAAATTGCATAGGATAACGTTCATTATATGCTTTACGTTTAGGATAATCCGTCATTGTTAATTTATACCCATTTATGACTTTAATATTTCCTTGACCATCAGTAACAAAGACTTCATTTATTCCATCAGGCTTTCCATTTGGTCCTGTAATGTCTGCTTCATGTGCTTCCCAATTTGGTCCATGACGTTTGGCATATGCTTGAGCTTCTGGTAATGTTAAAACGTTTCTCATTTGTTTAACATCCTTTTGAAGACCGGCAACAATGTGGACTAATTCTTTCATTCCGTCTGGAACTTTCATAGTTCTATTATATGCACCCTTTTTGTTTGTTCCTTGTTTTAATGGAACCTGTAGAAGATTTGCAATTTCTGTCATGTTTAATTATAAATAAAAAATAAAAATTAATTATAAAAAAGTTATTCGAATTTAATGGAACCTTTATTTAAATCAACTATTATTTTTCCATGTTCTCCTAATTGTTGATATTGTGTGTAAAGTTCATTAATGCTCATTGGTAAATTCACTTGATAAAGCATAACGTTCAACTGTTGACGACTAAAACCACTGAAAATGAAAAGGGTGGACAGGTTTGATTTAATGTTTGTGCTTAATGCTTTAAAGTATTGAACAGCCATAAAGAATGAACACTGAATGTGTCGACATTGAGTTAATAATTGATTAAAATATGATTTCTCATTAGTTATTAGTTTTGATTTCACGGCATCATCTAGAAAAATGAGTGAATGCAAAAAATTCTCTATCAAAATTTGAAATAGAAAGTGTTTCAAATAATTCATCCCGTTGTTTATCAATAATTTTATCCTCTAATCTTGCTTCTTGATTGTATTATATAATTCTTTATACATTAAAAAGTTTTTTAAATAATCTTCTTCTTCTTGTGATAAATAAATAATTGGAATTTTTGATTAAATGCTTTAAAGATTCAAATGTATCATCTGAAGGTGAACCTGAACGGTTGATATAAATTAACACGTGTGAATAGGGTGAAGTGTTAGCAATAATGATAATTTGTTTTAATATGTTAATGTTTTACCTTTATTTTGTTTACCAATTGCTGCGTGATTGAATTTAAGTAACATTCAGAATATGGAATTTTCATTAATTTTTCCTTAGATAGAGCATTTCTATTATCACTCAATGCTTCATTAATCATATCATCTATGTATGTATTATATACATCTGTTAATTCTTCAGAATTTAAATCCATTTAATCAAAAATAAATTTATAATTTTAAACATTTCTATTCATCAATATTTCATCATATGAACTTCTATACTGCGGTGGTGTACCTGTTGGATGATATTTCAAACCTTCATCCGGTGTCCATGTCCAATATGTAGTCCTAGTAAACCAAACCTGAGGAGGATTTGTCACCTTTGAACAGTAAGTGTCATTTACACCCTGAATGATTGGATAAGCTTTCACTTGTACTGTAACTTGTGAGTTGAAAGTTTCTAATCCATCAAAGAATATACCCGCTCCATCACGTTGAACTGGAATAGTGCATAAGAATGAAGTTTGGTCTTTCCATGTTCTAGCTAATGGTGTGCCATTATCATCATTCAGTGGTCTAGTTAATGAGTCCTCGTATTCTTCCGTGCATTCATTCACTCCATCTAAATCAGAAGCTTGAAGCATACGTGTAAAGAATATGTCACCCACTGTGGTCATCGCTTGATCGGGGAAGTTTCTGGAATCTATAGTGACCTGAAGACCTCGAAGCATTGGATTTTCTAAAACTGTTCTTTGCATTGCATTCTTCGGAAATGTTAACACAACATCTGTAACATTATGAAGAGCGTATGAGAAATCTGAGCTAATACCTTCAGGAGTGATGCAACCTCCATTTAGTGAACGAACGTCAATATGTTGAGCTGGAATCATGAATGGATCTTCCTTACTGAATAAACGTGGTATTGCTTTAACTGATTCTTCAATTAAACCGTATCCTGGTGTAATGCATTTATCCTCTAAAACTTCCATCTTTGTGCATGAAATAATAACGTCATCAACTGTTGCGTCAGCAGATGTAGCGGCTAAGCTTGTAATTAATTTGCAGGAAGTCCGATTTGTTGGAATTTGCGATCATATTTATAAACATGATTCATAATCTTTTCATAATTTTCATCAGTTATCTTTTCATAAACATAATTTTGTAAATCAGCAACTCTTAACGGGTCAACCTGACAAAATACTAAAGTATCCCTGAAAACAATAATTTTAAGAATGATATCACCAAATGATTTAGGATAATCATCGAACGCCTGAAATGCTAACAAATCATTTACCGGAATAATCATATCAAAAGTGACATCAACTTCTTCATTTGCTTTCTTGAAAACTTCTGAAGGGTCAATATATTTACCACATACTGAGTTATCATATTTTTGCATTGTTATATAATGAATGAACAAACTTTTTAACTTTCCTTTCTGATTTTGGTTTATATGTTGCAAATGCGAAAGATTCACGGGCGCAATCCATCTGAAGATAACCAGCATCACCTCTTTCGGTTTCTACTTCTAATTGTTTAAAGCTTTGATTTGATGATTTGTAACCAACGAATAAACGCATGCATTTAAAAGCGGCATCACATGTGAAAGCTTTATTTGAAACTAGAGTTGCTTTAACTTTGCGTTTAATATATGTGTCACCTAATTGATTCACATCATGAGCCGGATTTGTAATTCTTAAATGAGTTTGTTTATCATCAAAATATGGAGCATCAGAGTCATAGCATGAACTTTCAAGTTCTCTATAATATCTTCTACCGTCATTCTTTGCGAATATTTCATTTATCTTTTCGAATGAATGAAATACATTTCCATTAATTGGTTTAGTGTTTGGCACTAAATAGTTAGTCGTCATTTATGATGAAATAAAAAAATCAAAATTAAAAGATGAAAATGAATTTTTAATTTTAATGAAATAATCAACTATGGCTGCAGGTATATTTAAAAAGTTATGGGATAAAGTAAAAAGAGGAGCGCATAAAGTTTGGGAAACAATGAAGAAAGGAGCAAATTGGATATTTAAGAATAAAGAAGCAATGAGTGACGTTGCAGAACAAATAGCACCTAATGTTCCGGTAAGGGAAGTATTAAATAAAGGAGATAAAGTTTATCGTCGACTACAACCGATATTGAGATAAAAATAATATTTATTTTTCCACTACTTTCCTCCTATTTTATTAAGTATTCCTTCAGCAATTCCACCAACTGCGTTACCTGCTTGTGCTCCCATCGCTGGATTACCTGCTTTAGCACCTAATACTCCACCAATTATAGTTCCTGCCGTTTTCGCTACTGGTGCCAAAAAGTTTGCAATGGGTTTTATTATTTTCTGATGAACCCAACTTGCAGCTTTCTTAATTCCTTCCCATAACTTTTTAAAGAATCCTGCAGCCATTTCTGATTTAATATTAATTAAAAAATATATTTCAGTAGTATATATTGCGGGTTTTGTGACTTTTTTTGTAAACGTAAGAATTCATACATTTTTGAGCGATTTTGTATCATTTTTTTTTACATATGAAGTAAAAAATGTATGATTTTTACGGTTTTTATTCTTACGTTTTTGAATAAATCAAGATTTAAAAATTTTCAGAATCGTAAGAAATTTTCACTAAACCCATACATAATGAAATAAAAAAAATAAAAAAAATAAAAAAATAAACTTTAAAAATTCATGTCTTACATTTTTTGAATAATTTATTTTTTTAATTCGTATGAAAATGAGTGTCAAGACTAACGACGTTAAAAAATTGGGATTCACAAACGAGGAAATAAAGGATATATTAGAGGAGGCGAGTTATGAAGTTAATAAATATTATTTAAGAAATTGTCAAAAATTCGCGGAGTTATTAAATGATTTAGATTATGATGGAAAAATGAATAAAGATGATGTTATAAATTTCTTATATCCCACATCTGAAGAAGAAAAACCTAAAGAACCTGATGTTTTCCCTGAATATTATGAAGAACGGATTAAAGATGATGAATATGATGAAATTGAAAGACTGGAAAAAATAAGAGATGAAATAGATGAAAAAATTAAGGAATTAAGAGAAGTTGAAAAATATAATGAGAATGAAGTAGAGGGTTTAATGAATATCCCAGCTTCAGAATCAGAAGTTCAAAAATCTCATGAAGAAAGATATAAAAATTACTTTTTGGAATCTACTAAAAATTTATTAGATGGTGAAATAGATGAAACACTTTCAGAAGAAGGCACAAAATTTATTCATAAACATAAGTTACAATTTATTGACGATGGAGATTATCCATGTATATTACTTTCACCTCCTCTTGATTCTGAAAAATTCAAAAAAGCACTGAAAAATGTAACATATGCAACAAATACGATTAAGAAAGAAGACCATGATATTTACACAAATTATTATTTAAATAAATGTGCAGGTGTTGATAAAGTTTTTGATTTGTTAGATAAAATATCAAAAGAAACAATTGGTACATATAAAATTTTATGCGATTGTGGTTTCATTATTGAAGATACTAATAATGTTTCATATGAAAGAACAGCACCGAAGGAAGACGAAGTTGAAAGGTCTATACCATTCGTTATTAAGAATATAAAAGATATGAAAACTTATAAACATTATATTTATTCATTTATTTCAGAAAAAATGGAAGCAACCCATAAAACATCATCTCATCATTTTATAGCTATTCATACATTCCTTTTCAAAGTTGTGAAATTAAATAAGACAGGAATTAGATTTAATGTATCAGGGTACGCATTCTTGAGTAAATTAAAATGTATTCGTCACGTCGCAGATGATAAAAATTTATGTGTTCTTAATTCATTTTATGGACTTTAGCCCTGGACTTTAAAAAAAATAAACTTTATTTTTATTTATTTTTTAATTTTTTATTCTTACATAAATGAACAAAAACGGAACAGCTAAAATGAATGATAATCAAATAAGAGCCGAAGGTAGAAGGTTATTTAAACGCTTCTATAACATTCCTGATGGTGTTAATCCTAAAACTCGTAGAAGTTATTTAAATGAAGCCATAGATGCATATGAAGGATTTGACATTTCATCAGAAAGTGAGAGGTTAGCAAGAATGTTAAACGTTAATATTGATTTTTATTATTGTGACCCTCAACCAGAAGACGTAGACATAAATAAGGTAGACTTTCCATTAGTGGAATCAATAATGATAGATCCAGAATTTGAAACAGTAAATATTTTATTAACACAGAGTCCATGTGGAAAACTTCACGCTGACAGAATTACAGACGTTGAAGCACTCACAGGATATAAAGTTTGCCCCTTTTGCAAAGAAGAAGTATATTCTATCCGTGATGACCCAGAAAGGAAAAACCAAAGAAGATTTTTAAAGCATTGTGAGAAATGTAAAGAAAATAATGGAAGATTAATTCAAGACGTTCAATTGCAAAACACACAACAACCATATGCACCACATATCACGAAACAGAAGATATATCAATGGCTATTAGCACATAATTTGCAGGAATATTATAAACCAACAAGATATTATATTACTTTTGACTTCGAAACATTAGAGACTAAAGAAGAACTTCAACTTTCTGAATGTGCAACTTTGAACGCTTACTTAAAACCATTTATGGTATCATCAACTGTCAAAATAAAGCCGCAAACGGACTCTTTGAGTCCTGAAGGTCTTTCAGACCGAAGCGGCGAGGTCGTAGACCGTGATAAAACATTTACGAGGAATTTTTGCTTAACATCAAGTGATTCGTTCATCTCTGATTGGATTGAATTTTTATTTTCAACCTGTTCATTAGTTGCTAAATCAAATATTGAACAATATGAAGAATTAATGAAGCCGCAAACGGACCAAACGGCGGGGACTTTGTCCCATACATTAAATGAAAACAGAAGGAAGCATTTAAAGAACTTCTAGATGAGGAATTCAATAAAGTGAATATCATAGGTTTTAATTCGGGAAAGTTTGATTTAAATTTAATTCTTCGTGATTTAAACACTGCAAAATGGAAAATAAAATCAATGCTGGGTTCTTCTTCTCAATTTAAGCAAATCATTGTAAAGAAAACAAACTGTCCATATGAATTAAGATTTATTGACATCAGAAATTATATAGCGGGTGGAACATTAGACCAATTCACTCAAGATTTCGGAAACAATAAATCACGTGTTAAATCCTTTTTCCCTTATCAATTCATCACATGGGAGAATTACGAAGATGAATTATATAAAGTGGAACCATTCACTCAAGATTCATTTTATTCAGCATTAACTCAAGAAACAATATCCGATTCAGATTATCAAATATATCTCAATGATGCTAAAAATTTTGAGAATAGATTAGAATATTTTATTCATTATTGCAATAAAGACGTTGAAATTATGATTGACCCAATTGATAAAATTATTGAAGAAACATTTGTTTATAAAATTGACATGCTTCATAATCTTTCTTTATCATCGAATGCATCAATGATTCGTTACGCGTTAGCATATAAGAACTTCAATCCTAACGAAACATATCCAGAAGAAGAAAATGTGGAATCAAGTTTTGAATTAACAAAAAAGTATTGGAAATATAAAATTGATTCATATAAGAAACAAGATGAAAAAGCAGAAAGGGATACTAAAAACAATGTTTCAATGGATGACTATCAATACTATCACGATTTAATCCTTTCATCTAAATGCAAAATGTGTGGTAAAGCGTTTACATATGCTAATAAACCAACATTAGATAGAATCGATAATGAAAAACCACATACCAAAGAAAATTGTCAGTTAATGTGTTGTTATTGCAATGTCGTAAAATCAAATAAAGATGAAGATGTTCAACGTTTAAGAATCAATTTAAGAAATTATGCATTAAAAAATAATTTACCAATGACTCTAGATTCAGTTGAAGCTTATCACATCCTCCGTAATGGAATTACTGGTGGTTTATCAAATGTTCAACATAGAGTAAATCTTAAAGGAATCACGCACATTAATAAACTTTCATATAATCCAGAAACTAAAACTGTATCAAATGAGGACACTTCCAACATTATGACTCATTTCGTTGGTGTTGACTTTAATTCATTATATCCTTCATCATTTTCATCTAATCCTCATGATTTCATTCAATATACTGACCATAAAATGTATATGCCGGGAAGATTGAATGGTGTTATCATTTGTGATACAGCAACAAAGAAAGCAAAAGCACTGGGAATAATTAAGAAGAAAAATACTTTATTCGTGGCTGAAGTAAAGGGTCACATTGATGAAAAATACATTAATGATTACATAAACTTTTTACCAAAATAAGAAACTTTGATATTATCACAGATGAAAAAACAATTGGTGGTTTTATGTATAATTACATGAAATCAAACAATCTACCAGTTGACCAGAAACAGAGGAAATTAACTCAGTTAGCATCAACACACAACCAATATCAACCATTTTCTTCTTATTATCTTTGGTATCTAATAGACAGATTTCATTTTATCATTGATGACATTCAATCAATTTTAACATTTACGAAAAATACTTGTTTTAATGAATTTGCGAACAATTTATGAACGAAAGACAAAAGGCTGAATTAGAAGGAAATAAAGGAAAAAGTTTATTTTGCAAGATTTCACTTAATGGATCATATGGTTACGATGCAATGAATACACAAAATTACGCAAAGACTAAAATAATGAATGCACAGAAGGCACGCGTTGCATGTATGTCAAATAAGTTTAAAAACATAAGAGAAATAGGAGAGGATACGTATCAAGTGATGCTTAAAGATAGATTTTATAGATGTGATACATGTTTACAAGAGGCATTCTTCACTTTAGATAACGCAAAATACTGGTATTTGGTTTTCATTTATGATTTTATGTATAAATGCATGGATGTTAATCGTTTTCATTTCATTGAAGGTGATACTGATTCATCTTATTGGGCAATCGCTGGCGACCCAAATCTTCCTAACACTCAAGCATTTCAAGCAATTGTAACCGATAAAAAATTTTATGATAAAAACATTTACAAATTCGCACCTTTTGATTTCTTCTGTTTTAATGAGAAATTTAAACCTAAATTAAAGAATAAAGCTGAAGAAAAAGCACATGAGAAGAAGTTATTGGGTTTAGCAATTGAGAAACAAGGTGATAACATGGTTGCTTTATGTCCTAAGTGTTATACTTCATTCAACGGTTCAATTGATGGAAGTGATTTTAAAAAGATTGCACAAAAAATGAAAGGAGTTAGTTTACGACAAAATAAACAATTAACACCTAAAAATTATTTGGATATAATAAATGATAAAGTGATATTTGATGGTCAGAATATTAATTTACAACTTAAAAACGGGTCAATGACTCGCTTAACAATCGGTAAGACTGCATTAACAGGAGCACACACTAAGGCTGTATGTTGTGAAAATGGATGTTGTATGCCATTTATTTAATAAAATGCCACAGAAGAGACAAAAGGAACCGTAAATAATGGTTTTGATACTATGATTCAAAGAGGCGGGCACCCTTAAAACACTTATTTTATTTTTATATAAATGAATAGCGTAGATTTAAAAAATTTAATTGATGATTTAGTACTTAATCAAAATTTTCTTAATTATTATGAATTAAAATCATATCTCCAAAAACATGATAAAATATAACGGGTGATGATATGGATTATTATTATTCGTATTATAAAAATGAAGTTTTGAAATATCATGATAAAATAATTTCTAAAATTAAAGACAAAATTAAAAATAATGAATATTCAAAGGGAAAAAGTAAATCACAACTTAAACAATTGAAAGATTTCAAAAATAAAGTATTAACAGAAGAAGATATTGATGAATTATATAAATTATATAAATTATATAATCCTGAGCCGCAAAAACCAAAGGAACAAAAACAAAAGGTGCAAAACGCCCAGGTCCTTCAGACCATAAATGAAGCACAAGCTTTAATTTATGATTCATTAGTTAAACCATATTCAGCCCGACTTTTAAATGAAGATCAACTTTTGGAATTCATCCTTCAACATAAACTCGAAGCAGGAAAGTATATCAAACCTTTATATACAGCATATTTAAAACAAATGAATAGAATACATCCAGAATTAATGAAGGGGAATGAAATCCAAAATCAAAAATCAAAGCAGATAAAATTAAACCACTGCAACACCAAACCCTCCAACGACAGTACCTCCTCCTCCTTCAGTTAATCCTTCATCATTCACTTTATTATATCCATTTCAAACATTAAAGAAGCAAAAAGATTTTAAAAAGGATTTCAAATATTAAATAAACCAATTGACCCAAAAATTCAACCGTTAAAGGAAAAATTTAGTCGCCCTTCATTTGCACCATATCCATATTCATACGAAATCGATCATTTAGAATATTCAAGAGGAAACGTTACTTATTTATTTGCCATTAACATTAACACCAGATATTTATATTGCATTCCGGTGAAAGGGAAAACAGAACAGGAAACAAGAAGAGCTATTCAATACTTACTAGATCATGAAAGAGTAGATAATATAAGGGGTGATGGTGATAAAGGATTTCAGGCAGCTATGGCTCATTATTTCCCACAAATTAATTTTTACTTTTCATCCTCTCCATATACGTTTCATAATAAAATAGTTGATGCGGTAATGAGAACTCTTAGAGATGCGTTAGGGGTTAATGGTCAGATATACTGGGATGGAAATCATGACTCCATCATACAGCAGTTAGTATATTATTACAATAATACATGGCATAGAACAATAAACATGAAACCGGTGGAAATGAAAAATGATATTTCAAAAGAATGGGAATATATTAGAAAGCAAATGGAAAGGTTGAATGATGTTAAACGTGAACAAATTAATTCGGGGCTCATGAATTTTAAACAAGGGGATAAAGTTTTGATTCATCTCGATTATGGAAAAACTGATAAATCAATGACAAAAAGAAGACGAAGATTTGACACAATAGCTGAATTTGTTAGATATATTAACGGCAATGCATTAGTTGAAGTTGACAATAAATTAATAGAAATTCCGATTTATTTTATTACTCCATTATATTTAAATAATATTTAATTTTTTTATTTCGTAAGAAATGAGTAACAACGAAGCAGTCAAGAGTCCAGACGATGAATATAAAAAGAAACTAAACAGAATTAAATCAAAAATATGTTATTACAAAAAGAAGCCACAATGTGGTGGGGTTGAAAACGATAAAGAGAGGAAAGAAATAATCGAAAAATTAGAAACTTATCGTTCAATCCTTAAACTGAGTGAAGCAAAAATAAAAGAATTTAATAGAATAAATAAATTGATTGGAAGAGATGAATTTAATAAAGATGAATTTTTAAACTCTATCCAAATTTAATTTTTATTCCTCTTCGACAACATCTCTCTTTCCATCATTACCGCATAACCACATTTTCTCAATTTTAGTGGTTTGTTATTTTTAACATGTTCTTGCATCATTTTTATCATTTCCTCCCTTGTTATGATTCGTGGTAAATTTTGAGCTTGTGGGGTATTCATTTATGATAAAAATAAAAATTTGTTATCACTTATTTTATCGTGAATGTTTTTAGGTTATTCAATAATTAATTATTTTTGAATAACTGGGAAATAAATTTACGTCAAATATGCAATTTATAAAATCTTATGTCGACAGGCTACGTAGCACAGTGGTCTAAGGTGGTGTTATGGAGGGGTCAAGGTCTGTGGTTCGAACCGCGACAGCGCCGTATTTTCTTATTTTCTTTATTTGTCTTGTTTGTCGTGAATAAAAAGTATCATAAAAGTGCTCTATCTTCCACGGGAATAAATAAAAAATTTACTTTATTTCTTTTTATTTCTTCTTTATTTCTTTGTTCCCGTGGAAGAAGGGTTTTGCTGTTTTTTCTCAGCCGAAATCAATGATTTTTTCATTTTTGGAATCCTTAGCGAATGAGGAATCTTTTCTCTCGTGGAAGCTTTGACCTAAAATATAATTTAGGTGAAGAGGTGAGATATCACCTGTTTTTTCACCTGTTTTTATGGTAGTAGTGAAATAAAATTTTGTTATCAGTTATTTTATCATCATTTTATTAAGTTCATCTTTAGTTAATAATTTGAATGGATTCGCTAATGTTCCACCTTGAGTCACAACACTTGCCCCGGCTAATTGTGAAGAACCTGGGATAAGTACTCCATGAAATGATTTCATTGGTATCATTAATTTAGAAATAGTTGGCTTAATTAATTTGGTCATTTATGATAAAAATAAAATTGCATAATTTAAATTTTTTTTCTTTCTTTTCTCATTTTCTCTCATTTTCTCATTTTTCATTCTGTTTTGGTTTCAGCAACTTTTCAAGTTGTTGTCTTGTCAGTAACTTTAATTTTAACTTTGGATCAAATATTGGGTTTCCATCTTTATCTCTTCCAATAACACCAATGGTAGAATCTTCATTTATACTAAAATAAAAATTTAAATTATGCTGTTTGCTCTTTTGGAGCTCCTAAAGTTTGTTTCACAAACATTGAGCGTTCATTGAACTCTATACCATGCGAATACAGTCATAAATGGTGGCATGTAATCTTTACTTTGTCCCGTTGTTTGTGTATATCCTGAAACGCGATGTGTATGGTTTCCTTCTCCCTGAGTGTCACTCCAGTAACAATTTATGGCAAATTTAACATCATCTTTAACATCATATCCTTTACCTTTTGTCATTCCTGACCAATCCCAATATCTATGCTTATGCCAACCTGCTTGAGATGTGCTTAAATCTATGTAGTGACTGTGTGCAGGTAAATTTTCACCTGTAATCGTTTTACTTCCCCCTGTTTCCTTTGAAGAGTTTGCACAATACAAAAACCTGTCGACTATTTGTTCCCATGCACCAACACCAAACATTGCTTGAGGACCTCTCACATCCATAGATGTATAAATAGAACCTACTGGGTTCATTAAATCAAACATATGAGATATTATAGGATTGTCTCTTTTGAACTTAAAATATAGTGTAACTATTTCGGGTTTCTTCTGGTTTGTGTCAGAATATTTTTTATAATATAATCTTATG